TCCCTCCTAGGGCTTTTCCAAGGACATCAAAGTCCCCAAGAGCCGCTACCTGGGCTATATCAAGGACTACGAGGGGGCAACCCTGATGGAGTGTGAGCTGAACCCCCGCATCCCCTACACCGAGCTCTCCCACATCATCAAGAAGCAGAAGGAGGTGCGTCCTATGGCGGGTGCTGCTGGGCTCTGCCTGCTCAGGCCCCTGCCACCCACCGCCCAGGGGCAGGGGAGGGGTGTGGGGATGTGCCAGCCCTTGGGAACTGGCCCTTCCATCTCCCCTGGGAGCGGGCTTGTGGGGTAGAGAGGGGTGACTGTCACAGCGTTTATGGTGTCCAGGGGTGGCTCCGGCCCTGGGCAATCGGTGCAGCCAGTGCTCTGGGCCTGTGGGGTCCCGTGTCATGGTCTGGCTCCCCAGAGCGTCCTGCAGTCCCTGCTCACCTCCCCCCTTCCCACCACAGATCATCAAGAAGCTGATTGAGAGGAAGCAGGCGCAGATCCGCAAGGTCTACCCTGGCCTGACCTGCTTCAAGGAGGGCGTGCGGCAGATCCCCATCGAGAGTGTCCCCGGCATCCGTGAGTTCTGGCAGGAGGGCTCCGTCCTCCCTTGCCCGTGGGTACAGGGCAGACGTGGTGATGTTGACCCTTGTCTTCCAGGAGAAACAGGATGGAAACCACTGGGGAAGGAAAAGGGGTGAGTGCTGCATGGGGCGGGTGGGTGTCCTGCAGCAGCTGAGCTGCGGGGGCTCGGCTCGGGCTCCTGGTGCTGGGATTGAGGATGTGGGAGCACTGGGATGGAGAGAGGCTGCCCGCCCTCGGGCTGTGATGGGTGCTGGTTTTGTCCTGCAGAAAAGAGCTGAAGGATCCAGACCAGCTCTACAACACCCTGAAGAACCTCCTGGCCCAGATCAAGGTGCGGACAGGAGGGGACCCTCCTCTCCGGGGTGCCTGTTGCCCCCACAGCCCTCGAAGCTGCCTCCCCTGGGACAGGCTGCCCTGGGCTCTGCCCTCGGGGGGCAGGACCCCCGTGTGCTGGGGCAGGCAGGGGCTGCCTGCTCTTACTGCTCTAACCTGCCCCCTGCCCTCTCACCCAGACCCACCCCAGCGCGTGGCCCTTCATGGAGCCGGTGAAGAAGTCGGAGGCGCCCGACTACTATGAAATCATCCGCTTCCCCATCGGTAGGTGGTTGTGTTTGGACCCTCAGGGCAGGATGGTGGAGGGAGGGCTGAAGACCCCTCATGGGCTTTGTGCAGGGGAGTCATGGTTGGGGGTGTTGGGAGCCCCGGGACAGCCCAGCAGAGAGTGGGACAAGTCAGGACCCGGGGTCAGTGTCCAGCTCTATGGCTGGAGCATGCAGACGCCTGGGGGGCCTGACCCTTCCCCACGCCAGACCTGAAGACCATGACGGAGCGCCTGAAGAACCGCTACTACGTCACCAAGAAGCTGTTCATCGCTGACCTGCAGCGCATCATCACCAACTGCCGCGAGTACAACCCCCCCGACAGCGACTACTGCAAGTGTGCCAACACCCTGGAGAAGTTCTTCTACTTCAAGCTCAAGGAAGGGGGGCTCATCGACAAGTAGGAGGGCTGGCCTGGACCTGCCTTGGCCACCAGCC